CTGCGTCTGAACTTGTGTTTGGTATTGTGTCGTCGTCTGGAACTGAGTTTGGAACTGTGTCTGGTATTCCGTTTGAGTCTGGGTGACATACTGCAGCTGGGTGTTGGTGATGTAGGAAGTCTGGGTGAAGTATTGAGCTCGTGTCACGTACTGAAGGTCTGTCACCACCTGCAGAAATAAGTATTGACAATGTAAAAAAAATATTAATGTATTTATATTAATACAAGCCATTGGTCTACTTTAGTTCCGCAAATTAGACATGCACCTGATTTGGTTAAATTATTTTCATATATTTTCTTGACGTTTGTGGTTGTCACTGTAAAGTACAGAATCTGTACTGCATACGTAAACATGTTCTTTTGTTCTTTATCTATATATATTTATAAAACATCATGTCCTCATTGTAATTATAACTAACCTCAGTCCTGGTCTGTATGATGGGCGGGGCAGCGGAGGTGATGACCTGCTGCTGGATGACGGTGGACGGGTAGTACTGGGTTTGAATCAACTCGGAGTAGATGGTAGTCGGGAGGGCGCGGGTGCGGGTTTGTACCACTGTGGTGGGGATGAATTGAGTTGTCGTCACCACCGACACACTCGTCTGTGGATCACACGATGCCACAGGAATGTTGTTGGAGTCATCGAATGGTGTTTCGTATAGACCTGAAGGTGCTTGCGGGACTTGAGGAGCTAAATTCACCTCAGGGAAGAGATTGTTCTCGCTGAAAGTCGGTGTGGGTGCCGGGGCCGGTCCAATGGGAGGGGCCCCGTAGGCGGTAGGAGGCAAGGGTGGAGGCGCTGGTGCAGGGAAGTTCCCCTGCTAAGATAAAGTATGTTGAAGCGCATCATTCATCGTTTGTGAAGCCAAATTGCTCATTTGTTTCACAAACATAAGAGTAGAGTATTGTGATATCTGTGGGAGCCTTGTAATTTAACTGTTAAGTCAATCTTGCAAACAGAAGTTATTACTCAAGGGAGATAGCAGTAAGAGAGGTACTATAACTACAAGGACAACCTTAAAGAAATATTAAACCGCGAACATGAACAATGTATGCAAATGAATAACAATACAGTAGAGTACGCCAGTGAAGGGCTCACTCACCTGGGGCACACCGTACTCCTGGGAGACGCCGAAGGATATCTGAGGCTTAGCGTGGGTGACGACTGCCACCACCACCAATACAAGTACCAAGAAGCGGTTCATCTTGTTCGAGGGGCACTCAGATCAGCTTGCTACCTACACATGTGTTATGGTATTAGATACTTTTATCTGTGGTAAGAGGATCTTGTGAAAATTCCATGATTTATTTCATGAAAATTTTGAATATTCCTTCTGAAGAACAAATGTAAAGCATCAATCTTAGTTATTATTACCTTACTCTGCGAGAAACATAATCCTAAAGGTAAAAGCACTAGGTTCAATACCACAGAGATGATACGTGGTTTGACATGTCGTTGGCGCTGTTAAACGTCACACTTTCCTTACCTGTATCCTGTGTACATACTACAGTACAATTACTTCAGGGATTTTCTTCGCTCTAATATTACCTTTATGAAACTAATAATTATTAACTTCCATGAGGCTGACAGCTGGAAAAATCCTCTCATTTTTTCGCTCCAGAAAGGTTGTAGGCATATCACTGTTCATTCAAAGGCCTACTTTGTTGTCACAGCAAACAGAAGTTTGTGTGAGAAACAAATGTGATACTGTATATCCATGAGCAGGTGGAGAGTTGTTGCACGAGCCCTTGTGATTGTATGCACCTCCCAAAGACTGTTAATTGTCTGTTCAATTTATCTCTTTCACGTTGATTGATTATTTTTTGTGATATCTACCACTTATTAACTACCTTTGTCAGGTGACTATAACAAGTGAATTCAATCTAAAGATATTATTTTCTGGCCTGTTGACGAGATCCATACTTTAATTATAAAAAAAATGCCGTCACAGTCGGAGTCATTCCCCAGTGTAGGTCAAGTGATGAGCGTCAACATCCAAGAAGTGTGCAAGAAGTGAGAAGGTATTTGAGAATGAAGGTCTGATGGGTTAGTGAACGGGGAGACGATATTTGCAAAGATGAAGACATTGCCTTAAGAGCAGGAAGCATTTTAAAAAATTGCATTGTTTTCAGCTCTCAGTCCCACGAAGGTACAATTATCCTGTATATGTTGTGGTGGACAGTAGTTAAGACCCTGCCAGTTGTACATCCACCACAGTTACACTATAAATATAATCAACTTTATAAGTTATGATCTGTTTAAACCGACTACATTGGTAACACCCGTAGGCTGGCGCTAAATATTTCTACAGAATCAAAATCCCAAAAGGCGGCAACAGAGAAAAACACCTTACGTCTCCCATACAACAATATACTCGAGTGTTTTGCCCAAACCTTTTCATCAAATTTCAAAATCTCTCCTGGAAGATTATAGGAACAGAGTGCACGAAGAGACGGTCAGACAGGAGAGGACATAACTCATTCTATATACGAGCTTCGTTCTCTTCAGTTTCATATTTTTTATACTATTCAACATCTGAGTGTCCATCTGTTAAAAACAGAACCTAGGATAAAGATAACGACTACACAGGAAAAAGCTCAATATGTCACCTGGCTTACAAAGTCGAAATAATGGACGACTGGTCTAAGAATTACCGACGTCAATATGGAAAGAACTCTCCCCCCAAAAAACCCAGCATTTGGAGGTGATTTCACAAGTTTCAGGAGAGAGGATTTATGATTAATTTACATCGAAATGTGTAGATTTTGCACATTTCATGATATAATAGACATTTAAATCTGAAATATAAGATAATATTGGAAAGAAAACTATAAATTCAAGCACCTGTATCTAGAGAAGAGTTTGAGGCATCAGACTCACATTATCATACAATACCTGGCCAACCAGTGTCAGGAGTGGACCACGTCACAACTACACTAGTTACACAACACTGAGTCATACAACAAATACTGTATTAAAGGGAACCTACGACAATGTTATAGAATGTTATATAATCACTCGCGTTACACTTCGCGTCCCTCGACACACACACTGTATATTTCACTTCCGAAGACGAGTATTTCTAAGTATTACCTGAAAAAGAAAAAAAGATGTTTATCGCTCAGAGGACATACGCACTCCCAAAGTGTTACTAAAGAACGTGCACCCAAGGTGTTACTAAAGAACGTACACACTCCCAAAGTATTACTAAAGAACGTGCGCACTCCCAAAGTATTACTAAAGAACGTGCGTACCTAAAAGGATTACTAAAGAACGTGCGCACTCCCAAGGTGTTACTAAAGAACGTGCGTACCAAAGGATTACTAAAGAACGTGCGCACTCCAAAGTATTACTAAAGAACGTGCGTACTCAAAGGATTACTAAAGAACGCGCACTCCCAAGGTGTTACTAAAGAACGTACGCAATCCCAAAGATACTAAAGAACGTGCGCACTCCAAAGTATTACTGAAGATCGCGCACTCCCAAAGTACTAAAGAACGCACTCCCAAGGTGTTACTAAAGAACGTGCGTACTCCAAAGGATTACTAAAGAACGTACGCACTCCCAAAGTATTACTAAAGAACGTGCGCACTCCCAAAGTATTACTAAAGAACGTGCGCACTCCCAAAGTATCACTAAAGAACGTACGCACCCAAAGATAAAGAACGTGCACACTCAAAGTATCACTAAAGAACGTATGCACTCCCAAAGTATTACTAAAGAACGCACACTCCCAAAGTGTTATTAAAGAACGTGCGCACTCCCAAAGAGCTAAGAACGCGCACTCCCAAGTATTACTAAAAACGTGCGCACTCCAAAGTACTTAAAGAACGCACACTCCCAAAGTGTTACTAAAGAACGTGCACACTCCCAAAGTATTACTAAAGAACGTGCGCACTCCCAAAGTGTTACTAAAGAACGTGCACACTCCCAAAGTGTTACTAAAGAACGTGCGCACTCCCAAAGTATTACTAAAGAACGTGCGCTCTCCCAAACTATTACTAAAGAACGTGCGCACTCCCAAAGTATTACTAAAGAACGTACGCACTCCCAAAGTATTACTAAAGAACGTGCACACTCCCAAAGTATCACTAAAGAACGTATGCACTCCCAACGTATTACTAAAGAACGTGCGCACTCCCAAGGTATTACTAGGAACGTGCGCACTCCCAAGGTATTACTAGGGAACGTGCGCACTCCCAAGGTATTACTAGGGAACGTGCGCACTCCCAAGGTATTACTAGGGAACGTGCACACTCCCAAGGTATTACTAGGGAACGTGCGAAATCCCAGAGAATTACTACTACTATATAAAGATGAGCGCTCTAAAGTACCGTCCAGAAAACATACCAACTACCAAGTAACTAACACGCAGTGGTGGTTACCTAGATATACTATATGCCTAAACACAAGCTGAGTGCTTATTAATTGAGGGTCACCAGTATCTGCAGTGGAAATATTCATCAGCTTGTCGCATTCTGACCAGCAATTTCGTTTTTCCTTCGTAGTTCTATGAAACAGTTTCTTAGTTCGTACTCTTTTTGTCAGGGTATTTTCTTAACCTTAGAGACAACGTTGCATGAAATAAATAATTTTGATGTAGCTTTGTGAATAATTTTTCAATGTGATATTGAATTATCTTCTTTTTTTTTAATAATCCAACTTTTTACTTTCTATTATATTTTCAATTAAAACCCGTGTTATGCTCTCTATTGTATAAATATCAATACAAAATATACAAATATATATGTTATATTTAGGTATCTCACTGTCTTCTTTCTATGCGATTCTATCTCAAAATTAGATCTAAATAATCTTCTTGTTCATTCATCATCAGTTTTGTCTGGTCGAGGATCTCTCAGGGGCCACCAGGTGGTGATGCTCGATAAATAACGATGCTGGAATGTCTTGCTGACCCAGTACACATCGGAGAAAATCCCTTTGTCTGTCAGTTTCAGTGGACGAACGTTACTAAAATATTTATCAAGCAATAGTTGTCGCCACCATATTTGTTTTACGTGTAATATAACAAAATGAAGGTTGGCTAAGACCCATCGTGGAAAACAGGGAGTGATGCCCTTCCTGCCTTTGATGGTTTTCTTCTGTGGTTTATCACACTTTCTCACTCTACTCACAGTCTTTCAGTGAACAATGTTTCCCCCCTCTCAGTCTGCTATTATTGTCTCTACCTGTACTCCCCAATCTTTTCTTATTACTTACAAATGTATGTTATATAAATTACATTTATCCGTTCGTGCTTCATTACAAGTAAATAACGACGCCTTAAAGTACTTGTCAGCCAAACCAACACTACTATAATTCCGTACAGAATATTTAGCAATAAGAGTGTCTCAGACCTTTTAACATGTTAAAGACTGGAAGTAGTCAATGACTGAAATGCTGGAGAGTGGTGGTACCGCAGGACACCTCAAATAACCAACCCTATATCTCTCTGACAATATTATTTCCAAGTATTTATTCAATAGCTACTACTGTACAATATGTCGTAATACTCATTTTATTTCGATTGCATTATGATATGTAGGTTTCGGTATCCAGCCTTTTGGAAAGTTTTATAATGGAAGGTCAGGTGTAGTGATGGCGCGGGAGTGAGTGGTTGCTCCCTCTGACGACAACACTTTACGGTACACCTCCCTCATCCGTGACCTGCCGCGCTGGCTTCCGGTGGACGGGTTTACGGTGCTGATGACACTTCTGACAGTAGCTTACGTAAATTGAATTATTCAGTCGATGGTGAGAGTCCCCATTGAGCAAGCTCATTATTATCATAAACACTCGGGTCAGGCAATGTTTGTCACATCCGGTTTAGTGAAGAGATGATGTTGGGAGCCTAGTGGCCAATGATGCTCATGGTTCCCCTCTTGGCTTCCTATTAGATTTTAGCGGCAACAATCAGTTCTGTGAATACAAAAACTTACTGACTCACTCACTGTACTACGCCCTCCTCCCCGGGTTCCGCGAATAGCAAAGTGGTTGTGCGTTTGTCGCGGTCCAAGCGACCTCTACGGCACTCTTTGAGCTGAGACGCTGAAATTTGAACACAACGTTGACTAAGTGCTTTGGCAAAACTGCATTTTTTTCACTTATTGACTCATATCATACACCCCTCCTCCGCCTCTCTCCCATTCCGTTTCCAGGTGTCGCACATCTTGCGCCGAACAGTCTGCATTAACGTAGCTTACGA